TATGTCTGCAAAATCAATGACCCCTGACTCCTGAAAGAATGAAATTTGGGGGTGCTGTGGCTGCTTCAGTGCTGCTGATTGTTGCTGCTCTGCTGCATTGCTGTTATGGTTATCTTTATTTTCAACATTCTGTGACAATTTTCCAGCCAGTCTCCCAATCTCTCTCTCCTTCCCTCACCCAGCAGCAGCCATTTACCTGCCTGCTGGGAAGGGAAGAAAAGGGAAAGAGAGGGAGAGGGAAAAAGGTGGTAGGGAAAAAGAAGGCAGGAGGGTAGAAGGAAGATTTTCAATACTTTTTCACAAGGAAAATCAATGGAGAAGCAACAGAAATTCAGAAGTTGCTCCTGCTCCTACTGCTTTTTTGCCCACCCATAGTAATTCCGTTTCTCTGTTTAGGTAAGAAAACATCTCTGAATTCATAGGGGGGTGGGTTGTTTAGTTGCATATTGGTATTGGTATTGACACTGGCTGTTAAATGTTTCATTCTAAGAGTCACTCGGGGATATCTAGTGCAAAATACAGATTACAATTGATCTTTTCAATCAACAATTGCAAACCCAATCTGTTTGTTGAAAACTTCTGAGATTGTTTGAAACCTTTTGATTTATCACCAATGTTCAGCAATTTCTCAGTGATATTGTTCTCCCCAAATGGTAATTTTGAAGTCTACCATACAGTATGCTGGGGTTGAAACTGTCTAATACCACTTTGTCCTTGGACTGAGTCCTGACGTCAAACTTGTGACTATTAATTGTTGTGTGTGTGACATTTGTCCTATATAAAATCCAGAGGGAAATTGCTGGGAGATAGTGGCATCAATCACATTGGAAGAAGAGCATGTAAAGGATTTTAATCTGTATTTCTTGAGGCCTATGATGGTGCTCTTGGTATAGATGTAAAGACAAAACAGATAACTGGATTTTTTACTCAAATCCTTCAAACTTTATGAAAAAGAATTAATGAAGGGGCTTCCGGTTTGGCTTCCGTCGTCGCTAGACAGTCTTTTGGGACCGCCACCCCCACCGTCCGTAAAGAGCCGCCTTTACAGCTGGGAGGCGGCTCAAAAAACTCTGTTTCCTTAAGGAAATGTGAGGAGAGCTGGCGAGAGCAGGTAGAGCCCTCTGCGAAGTCCCCAGAGTTTTTTTTTTACTCTTGGGGAGGAAGCAGGATGAGGCTCCCTATCCAGCTTGCCGCTGCTCCGGGCTTCGGGAGAACTCTGCGGTTTGCAGAGCTAGACGATGTGACCAACCTAATCAGCAAAAACTAACAGATTGCTTGAATAAGCAGGATGGAATCCGGATTTGGGACTTTAAATCGCAAGTATTTGTAACAACCCTATGACTGATTTCAAGAATGAAGAGAGAGTGAAAAGGGAAAAAAAAAGGTTTAAAATGGCGGCTGGCTGAGGCTTGAGAAGAAAGCTGAAAGCGAAAGTCTTTCCGTTTGAATGGCTTAATATGTTACAAAGTATTTGAAGCAATAGCGCTGGCTACAAGAGAAGAGAAAAATTTCTGTTTCATGCTTCTTCCTTCTTAGAGACTTGATATTGATATTGTGTGGAGAGACTTTTTCTTTAAAAAGAGTCTGTTTGCGTGGCAGGATGGCGTTAAAACTGACAAAGCCAGACAACCAAGCTGTGGGGGGGGGGGGCTCCCCCAATTATAAATCACAAGAGCAATTTTTGAGCTTGCAGATGCAGAAGAATGGTTTTAAAGATTTAAAGGAATTTGTTCTGGAGGAGTTGGCAAGACATGATGAGATTATGAACCAGAATCTTGAAAAATTTAGACAGGAAATTAAAGAGTTGGTTCAACAAAAGTATGATAACCTGAAGCGCTATATTGTAACAGCTTTGAAAAGTTTTTCAGAAGTAATTATAAAGATGGATAAAGATATCAATTTAGAAATAGAGTCTAAAATGAAGGAAGCTGATTATAAGATTCATAATCTGGATAATAAAATACAAAGAATTGAAAATGATTTGACAATGATTCAAGAAAATAGCTCAGAAGTAGAGTCTAAAATGAAGGAAGCTGATCACAAGATTTACAATGTAGATAATATAAAGCAAAGGATTGAAAATGAAGTTACAATGATGCAATTCAGAACCATGGAATTTGCGATCAGAATGAGAGGAATACAGGAAAATAACAGAGAGGACTTGAGAAAGATGTCTGCTGAAGTTCTGGCTGTGATTTTAAAGGTCAGCTCTGAAGAAATATTCTGTAAGATTGATAAGGTCTACAGAGTAAATTCTTGGGTGGCAAAGCAAAGACAATTGCCTAGAGATGTGGTGATTTATTTTACTGATAAAGGAATAAGAAATGATATTGTGCAAAAGTCTTTTAACTCCACTCTAGAAATGAATGGAATGAAGATCTGGATATATAAAGAGTTGCCGTCCAAGATGTTAAAAGATAGAAAGGACTTTGGATTTTTGGTGACTGAGCTAAAGAAACAAAACATCCCATTTAGGTGGGATGCTCCAGTTGGTATAATATTGAGATATCAAGGAGAAAGATATCAATTAAACACTGTTGAAAAAGCGGAAGAATTTTACTACAAGGTTTTTAAAATGGGCCCAACATCTCCACGTATGTCATCAGTGTCAGGAATACAGGAGGGGGATAAAGAAAAGCAAAATGAACAAGAGATTGAAACTCAGGCCAAGCAGATGGAGATGGAGGTAATGGAAAAACGACAAGTTATAGAGGGCTTTTTGGATGAGCCGCTTTTGGATTCTCCTTCAGAGGCTATAGCTGGATCACCTATAAATACAAGAGAGGCGGCTTTGGATCTTGATTTGATGTCTTATCAAGTTAAAGACCAGCATGTAACTCAATCAGCTGATATACAAGTCCTAGAAAGGCAACCAGGGTGGAAATCTAAACCACAACAAGTTAAGAAAAGAAGAAGCAGGTTCTACAAAACTAAAAAAAATTAAACTACAATTCTTTTTTAGCCAACAGATTAATGCCAGTTATTTAAGAGATGATTAAATATAATAAGTGGGATTTATAGAAGGCTAATACATGAAAATATAGCTGAGGCAAATTACAGACTTATACTATTTTGAGAAGAATAACAGATCTCTGCAGTGCTGGTGTTTTTGGGATGTGGAAGATGGCCTGTGATTGAGCAGATCGGAACTTTCTATTTTGGACTCTCTGAAAAATGGATTACGTATATGTTGAGCTATAAGGCAAGAGAACTATGGAATTGGGGCATGCAGATGATCTGGCTGTTACCCTAACGTGGTTGTTGGAATTAATAATCTAGACAAAAGACATTACAGAAGATACCATATGGAATATAAATATAAAGTCACTCGGGGTTTTTTTTTTATATACAGAAATACTTATTAATGATGGGGGCAGATGGTAATTGAAGATACTGAATATGCTGTTGGAAGCAGGACTTGATGTTACCCTAACATGGTCGATGGAATTAACAATCTAGTTGAAAGACATTACAGAAGATACTATATGGAATACAAATTTAAAGTCACTTGAAGGTTTTATTTATATATGGAAATAACTTTTAGTGATACGGGCAGAAGAATAAAGATATTAAATATATTATGTATGGTAGACCTGTAGGAAAGTGGGTGAAACAAAATTGATATGGTACAAGGTGATAGGTAACGTTACTGATTGCTTAGTTTAGGAAAAGGGATGTTATGTTTAGATATTAATATACTTAAAAGACTTGAATTAAGAGATATACGTATGGGGGTGGAGGAAATAGGTAGATTATGAGTAGAATAAATGCCAAATTAGGATCTATTATATAGTTTTATAGCCGAATGCTGTTTTGAAATGTATAGTATACCGGGGACATAATAATAATGTTAGAAAGAAATGTTTAGCACATAGGGGGTGGTGTAAAAGGGTGGTAAAGTATTATATAATGTGATATTAATTTCAATTTCATCTTGCAGAAGCCATGGGGGGAGGGGAGGGGGAGGGGGGGTTAGGGAGGGGGGGAAAGGGGGAAAATTTGTATTTGAAAAACTTTTTCAATTAAAAAAAAAAAAGAATTAATGAACACATACTCTTAAGACAAATCCAGGACAAATAGGTTTGTTATGTATCTTTCCACCTTTATCCCAATTTATTTCCTAGTCACTACGTGCATTGATGAAATGAGCTGTAACTCACAAAAGCTTATGTCTTTTAATAAAATTTGTAAATTTTATTAAATTTTATTAATTTATTATGTAAATTAATAAAATTTGTTAGTAAAAAAGAGGCTGATTTGTTGCCATTAACATACTTTTCCCAACTTCAATGAATACTAAGGGGACAGTTAATTTATTGTACAATAAGAAAGAGTGTTGGTCAATAATTTATTTCTTTTTCTGAAGTTGCTTGTTTCCATGTTTTTTGAAAAACAGATATTAGTTGGTGTGAATTTGATAAGTACAGGAAGTGTTTTGTTTGAAAGTGTAGTCACTTTGGTCCTTCATGTTAAACCTGGAGTAAAACTATTAGATATATATTCACACACATCACTCGATAATGCCTAGTGACAGCTATAACCAGTATCACCAGCCTCATTTTCTATGAAGTTTCAGAAAACTTCCATTCCATTATTTCCTAGAATATTCCTGTCATTTGGTTTTTAAAAATCACATTTTTCACCTAATAAGAGAACCACATCACACAGGAATACACTCAATTCCTTTCATCTGTGTATTTTTTGCTTCTGACGAATATTTTACAGTCAACTTTACCCGATTTCAGCTCCACGAAAACAGTGCCGGTTGACTGATAGCAATCATAATAATGTGATTTATTTTGTATGTGTTATTTATTACTATTACCAACTACGGTAATTGAGTTAATAATGATAACATGGATTTTGAGAGCCTGCCAGACCGATTTAGCTCGAATTAATTTGATCTCCATAAAGAGCACAAAATTTAAACCTTCCACGGTTCCTATGACGACCGCCACGGCGTTCCATCCGGCTACGTTAATTCCCATCTAAAAGATCCGGAAGTGCTTATAGCGGAAGTTGCAAAAGGGTGGAAAGAAAGGGAAGGTAGGTTTTGATCTTGTCTGCTTTTCCCGACGGAGTGTCTCTTTATGTGTGTGTTGGGGGGTGGGGGTGGGGGTGGGGGGGTTGAGGCTAGCTTCTGCATTTTGTTTTTTTTAAAACTGCTTAATGTTCAGAAAGGGAAAGCTACTTAGGGCTGCGAGATTGTGAAGCAGGACAATAATACTACGTAGGCGACCGTTTTGCTATTTGACGTTTATTAATTTATTTCCGCAAAAAAGTATGCACTGAGATGGTCCGGTAACCACATTTTGATTTAGTCCACGGCCATCCAGTAAATATTTTTGTTGTTTCTGCATACAGATTTCAACCCAAGATTTCCCAGTTTAACACTTCAATTGCTGTTGACTAATAAAATAAATTCTGTAGGGAAAAAAGCCTATCAAACTTTATCAGAAAAGGTAGATACAACAGTTATGTCAGGTTGACATGAAAGATAACATAGTTCTGTGTACTTTTGTATAGGAATTGATCATGCTGCATCTAAAGAGAACTACACATAGATTACACATGTACAATAACACAGCCTAAGATTTATTATGGGAAAAGTTGTCAAGAAAAGATGAAAATAATTGTATGATTTACTAGACAATTGCTCAAAGTGCTTAACAAGCTCAAGAAGTACATAAGATCAATAGTTAATATATTAATAATTTGTTGAACCCATTTTCTTTTCAATTTTGTTTCCTGAGAATCAGTTGATCAGTCTGATATTGGAGACTGAGAATCAAATACAGTCAAAATTTTCAAGTATGCCATTCTGTAGACACACTAGTTCCCTTTTTAATTTTCCCAAAGATGTAACTTATTAGCAAGGGCAACAATAAAGCTAATATCTTAATATAAATTGCTATCTAATGTATCTGATGAGGCAAAGACCAGATTAAGGCTCCTGGACGATGCAGGAACCCTAATTTCTTCTTTCCTCTCAGGTACATCCAAATTTGCAATCTATTTGCATTTTCAGAATTCAAGTGAAGCTGTTGAGAAATAAGTTCAATACATAATTTGCATTCCTAGCCCAAGTTCTTTTTCTTTTAAGATGGAACCCTCTTGAATTAGCTGGTCAGTAAGTTTCTAAAGGCTAACCTCCATGTTCTTGAATGTTAGCCTTTAAGTGTATTGTAACAACCTATAAGAATTGATAATGCTATAGGAAGAACAAAAAGTGAATAGTTTCAAGCTTGTTCAAGCACTATACTAAGTCATTATAGAACAGAGACTGAATATATTTAATGATTTTAGATGTATTCAGTGTGTACCTCTAATCCTGTAGTTCTGTGGATTTTGTCTAAACCTGAATATGTTACTATATTTTATATATCAAAGTTGTATATTTTGTAATTTAGTCTGATAAAAATCTTTGATTATCCCCTCATTTATTTTGCCAATGTTAAATGAATAGTTTCTGTATTACTCTGTTCTCTCATTTGGTCCCATATCTCTTCAGGTGAGAATGTAAAAGGTGATGGAATATTAAGAATGCATTCATCTAGCAGAACACTATTGAATCTAGTCCATGTAATATGTTTGTATTTCATTTTTAGAAAATGTATATTTCAAACAATTGAAAAATAGTGTGCTAGTATTCTTATTTCTTTTGTATCTTAAATATTATTTCCTTATTTCTTATATTGTACAATACATTTTTATTTCTTTATTTCTTTCAATTGTAGAAATATTAAACATGGACCTTAACAATTCAGACCCTGCTCCTCATTTAGAGTCTAAATGATCTTTAAAAAGTCATTGACTTTATCAATTAACTTCAGCATGATGGTAAGATTCTGTGGGTGCTGTATTGGCTTTTTTTTTTTGTATTTTAAATAATGCATGGCTAAAAAGGGAGATATAAAGTATTTGTTACTTTTGTTCTTTCCAATTTGATTTCATGTATGGAGCTTCAAAAAGCGGTTCAGAAAATAATGACCATAACCTTGGTTTACTTGTATGCACTAATATCAATAGCCATATTTTTAGTTTTCCAATTATTTCAGTTTTTTGACAGCTGCAGCACATTGCTGGCTCATACTCAAATGGTTCTACTAGGACACTTAGATCTCTCTCACAGTTAGTACTGTTAAGTCCGGTACTTTTTTACTGCCTAAGTCCAGGACCTTACTTAATTACATTCACCATGATTAATACCAGAACTGATCAAAGTCCAAAGGATAATGAAGTGAACATGTTTAACATATATGGGCAGGATCAGGATTTTTTTCCCTCTGACTGTTTTGTTTCTGTTTTTTAAAAAAACAGTATGTTAAGCTATTTTAAAGATGCTTTACAGTTTTCATGTATCTCTTGCTTCAAACAATGCCACTGGCAGTTGTGCTTGGACATTTGACCAGTGGCCTCAAGTTATCTGCCCTTAACAGGGATACTTTGATATATCCTACTTTCCTTCTTTTGTTGTATTACAATCAAATGTAGATTAACTTTCATATTTAAACCAATATTTAAATATTGGTTAACGGATTGCTTTCAGTCTATTCCTAACTTTTTACCCTGAAAACATGCTAAATTCCAGTAGGACTTATCTTCCACCTTGTGTTCATCACCTTTTGTTGATTAATTATAACATTTCATTTGCTCAATTAATTATAATACTTATAGGAATAAGAATATTATTTTCATTTTTGCAGCAGCAGACTTTAGAAGTTGCACTGGATCGTGCGGAGGTAAATAATAGATTATCTAAATTTTACAGGCTTTTCTGATTATAGTATTAGCAGTGGAAAAGACCATTGTTCTATTCATGATAGTTTCATTTAGAAGAATATGAAAAATGTATAATTCCTAAACAATTAAACTGTTTTATTGTAAACATTTAGAATAACATCTACAAGTAGTCCTCAACATATGACCACAATTGACCCCAAAATTTATGTTGTTAAGTGAGACATTTGATAAGTGAGTTTTGCCCCATTTTATGACCTTTCTTGGCATGGTTGTTAAGTGAATAGTTGCAGTTGATAAATTAGTAACACAATTGTTAAGTGAATCTGGCTTCCCCATTGTTTTTGCTTATCAAAAGGTTGCAAAAGGGGATCACATGATTTGGACACAACAATGGTCATAAGTATGAACCAGTTCCAACCATCTGAATTTTGATCACATGATCATGGGGTTGCTACAAAGGTCGTAAGTATGAAAAATGGTCATAAGTCACTTTTTTCAATGCCATTGTAACTTGAATGGTCATTAAATGAACTGTTATAACTCGAGGACTATATGTATTCCCGTTTGATAATGCCTGCTATACTCTGGAAAGATTCAAGAGATGTGTTGTGGTCCGCTGGTGGCCTGCAGAGCTGGCAGCAGAGTCGGGCAGTGAGGAGGTTGGGGAGGAACATGGGCCAGTCCTGGAGTCTGGGGAAGGCTTGGACGAAGGCTCTGCATCAGAGGCGGAGAAAGGGCTATCTGGGAGGTACGTGCTGCCTCCAGAGACTCCAGAGTCGGACCTCAGCGAGGCAGAGGAACAGCGGGAGCCTGTTCACAGTGCGGCATGCGCAGAGCTGCCAGAAGGCAAGAACAGTTAAAACAAAGGGACGATTTGGGAGTAGAGCTTGGAGATGATTGGCCCCTCCCATAAGACTTAAAAGAGGAGCAAAGGCATGTGGGCCTTTGCAGGAAGCAACGTTGTTAATTCTGTTCAGTTTAAATTCTGAAGCTCTGTTTGATTCTGGACTCCGTGTGGCTTTGTCAGTTAGGTCTTTGGCAGCATGTCAAGGGAGATAAAGGTGGGTGATTATCAGCCTTATCCCGAAGGACTCTTTACAACTAATTGTGACTCCTCTGTGAATGAACAGAATTCACAGCTGTTGCAATAAAAGAGGTTTTTGGGACTACTCGTGTATTTTACTGACTCAGTAAAACACACTGGGTCAGAACAAGATATTGTTGTGTTACTGATTACTATAGCTTGATTTTTTTTTAGATTTCTCTGAATTTTTTAATGGAGTTTTTATGGAGAAATAATATACTGCAAAACTCAACAAATGAAACATTAAATTGTCTATGGGAAGTGTAGTTGAGATGAGGATAACGTTAGGCAAAATGCTAAGTATATACAGGTAGTCTTTGACTTACAACCATTTGTTTAGTGATTGTTCAAAGTTACAACAGCACTGGAATTATGACCAGTTTTCACATGTACAATCATTGCAACATCCTTGTGATCACATGATCAAAATTTGGTTGCTTGGCAACTTGCATGTATTTATGACAGTTGCACTATCTTGGGATCATGTGATCACAATGTGTAACCTTCCCAGCTGGCTTCCGATAAGCTAAGTCAATGGGAGAGTCAGATTCGCTTAATGCTGTGTGATTCATTTAATAACTGCATAATTTGCCTAATAACTTCAGAAGTTGCTTAACTACAGCAAAAAAGGTAATAAAATAAGACACAACTTACATAACAACTGCCTCATTTAGCAACAGACATTCTGGGCTCAATTGTGCTCATAAATCAAGAACTATCTGTATTCTATTCCACTTTCCTCCTCAGTCTTATTTGACATGTCAATAAGTGAATTGTGTTCCACAATTATATAAATACTTGAAATTACCTGTGTATTTGTGCATTCCTAATATGTTTTTAACATATTAACATTCATACACTTTTTTTCAGTATATCATTGAAAGTGCTCGCCAGCGGCCTCCAAAACGAAAGTATTTATCTAGTGGGAGGTAAGAAATATTTAGTGCATTTTTCTTACTTTAACAGATGGAAATGTTTACTCAAGAGCTTTTTTTTCTAATTCCAGAAAATCAGTGTTTCAAAAGTTATATGAATTGTATCTAGAAGAATGTGACAAGGAGCCTGAAATAAAGGTAAGTGAAATCTCATTGTCAAATGTCTATTTTATGTTTTCCATAATGGACCAGGAAAGGCTAGTTGCACATAACTATTATGTTTATAGATTGTAGTAGCATTAAAAACATTCAGTGAGATGTCAGCATGGTTGCTTTGTCTTATGAAGAATTTCTGCCCTTGAATGTCCATTCAATTTTTGGAGGTATCAAGAATTGGAGAAAGAGCAACCGCTTGTTAAATATAAAATATGGGAGTATTAGTATCTAAATATGGAGGAGGATGTATTATACTGTTCTCAGGCACCTTTTACACAGGATTAGAACTTCCTATTATTCTACCAAAGTGGCAGTGATCATGTCATATTCAGTTGGTGATTATCAGTTTTTCTGTGCAGGGAACCTTAAACAAATTTCCCCCTTAGTTTTGTTTCAGATCACTCTGAGCTCCACAGGGGCCCTCAACACTAACATATATGGGAAACAGACAAGACACTTCTTTGGCTCCTAGTTAGCAATGTAATTCTCAGGGCAATTTATATTAATCACAGGAATTAGTCATGACTTGTTTGATTACATTTCCTGACTTGTTCCTAATGGAATCGTTAAGTTTGAACAGTATAGTGTAAATATAAATTTACATGAAAATAAACATGGGTGTGTTATTTTGTAAGAAACATTATTTTGGAAGAAATGCTATTATTTTGGAAGAAACATTTGCAACTGTTTTCACAATAAAGCTGCCTTTACTGTGTCTTGTGAACTTGGCCAGTGAGAATATGTTTTCCTAATCAAATAAATTGTAGTCCTTGATCGGTCATTAAGTGGACTACTTGTATTGGCATGAAAGGTAGAAAATAATAAATAGCTTTTATTTGGGGCTGTGTTTGTATGAGTTTTGTGATTGACTTGAAACATTTTAAATATAAATACATAGATTGTACTAATCTAGTTTTGATATTCCTGATTTTCATGAATTGTTGCCCACATTTTAAAGCAGAAGCTGAGACGAAATGTGAATTTGTTGGAGAAGCTAGTCATGCAAGAGACATTGTCATGCCTAGTAGTGAATCTTTATCCAGGAAATGAAGGATATTCCTTGATGCTCAGAGGAAAGAATGGCTCAGGTAAAACAAGCATTGTTGGCTTTTAAATCTTTCTTTGATCTAAATAGTGTCTTTTTAAATAAACTGTGTGCCCAATTATTAGGCAAGTTGTATTTTGGAGGATTAATTCTATTATTAACAACTATAGTGCAATAAATCTCAAACCTGAATATTTAAGAAAGTAATTAGGAAAATATCTATGTGTGCACAATTAGTGTGCAGAATTATTATGCAACTAAATGAAAAATGAAAATTTGTCCATCTCACTTGTTTATTTGTATCTGTTAAAATGAGAATAATAACTCAATATGTACAAATAAACATTTCTGACATTTCAAAAAAAAAAAAAAAATCAGTGACCAATATAGCCACCCTTCTTTTCAAGAACAGTCATAAGCCTTCCATTCATGGAGTCTGTCAGTTTCTTGATCTGTTGACAATCAACTTTTTATGCAGCAGCAACCACAACCTCCCAGATACTGTTCAGAAAGGTGTACTGTTTTCCTTCACCATAAATCTCCTGTTTAAGAAGGGCCCAGAAGTTCTCAATAGGGTTTTAGGTCAGGTGAGGAAAGGGGCCATGTCATTATTCTTTAATCTTTAAGGCCTTTACTGGCTAGCCACACAGTGGAGTATTTCGATGCATGCGATGGAGCATTGCCCTGCATAAAAATCATGGTCTTCTTGAAAGATGCAGACTTTTTCCTGTACCACTACTTGAAAAAAGTGTCTTCTAAAAACTGGCAGTAGGTTTGGGAGTTGATTTTGAGTCCATCTTCAACTCGAAAAGGTCCAACTAGCTCATCTTTCATAATACCAGCCCATACAAGTACCCCACCTCCACTTTGCTTGTGTCTGAGTCGAAATGGAGCTCTACCTGTCACTGATACATCCACGGACCCATCCATCTGGTCTGTCAAGAGTCACTCTCATCTCATTAGTCCATAAAAGCTTTGAAAAATCTGTCTTCAGATATTTCTTGGCCCAGTCTTCCCGTTTCAACATGTGTCTTGTTCAGTGGTGGTTGGGTTTCAGCCTTCCTTACCTTGGCCATGTCTCTGAGCACTGAACACCTTGTGCTTCTGGGCACTCAGGGTAGGTTACAGTTCTGGAATATGATAGCACTGGAGGATAATGGGCTCCTGGTAGCTTCACATTTGATTCTTCTCAAATCTTTGCAGTTAAGATACGTCTTTTTTCTCAACATGTTTCTTGTGACCCTGTTGACTATTTGCAATACAACGTTTGTTGGTTCTGTGATCACGCCCCAATATCTTAGCAATTTCAAGAGTGCTGCATCCCTCTGAAAGACTTTTACAATTTTAACTTTTCAGAGTCAGTTAAATCTCTTATTTGGCCCATTTTGCCTGAGAAAAAGAAACTGCCTAATAATTATGCACACCTTGTTATAGGGTGTTGATCTCCTTAGGCCACCCTCTCCCTCATTACACAAATACACATCACCTGATCTGCTTATATCCACTAAGCATTCAAGTGTATACAGCTTGGAGGTGGAAAATATGCATAAAAATGATATATGGTCAAAATACTTACTTGCCTAATAATTGTGCACCAGTGTAATATTTTGAAGTATTATTATTGGTAGTGGAAGCCTGATTCAAAGTGTATCAGTGTTTCTTTTGTTATGAGTAATAGATGCTTGCTGAGCTTTATTTTGTTTTAAAACAGATTCAGAAACCATTCGACTTCCTTATGAAGAAGGAGAACTACTTGACTATTTGGATGCTGAGGAGCTACCCCCTATTTTAGTTGACCTCCTTGAAAAATCTCAGGTTTGAAAAGAATTTGCACAATTGTTTGTGGATTTTTAATGCCTTTTTGGTGTGATATAATAGCAACCCTACTTATGCATGTATGACAGTCAGTTGGGATATACACAGATATGTAGGCAGTTTGTAGAATAAGAGTGATAGCTGTTAACAGACAAAACTGAACAGAGTAAATCTAGATAAATTGCAACGTCAACAATTGTTCCATGTGGCAAGCCAATTAACAGTTAAACAGGAGAAGAAGATTGCTATTAGTTGTAGCAAGATAGAAATCCTAGTCTGGATTGGCAGTAAAAAAGAGAAACATCCCTGACAAACTCTGTGCATATAAATCTGTATACTGTATCTAAGAGTATGAATGTATGTGTATACATGGATAGGTAAATATAGGCACAGATGAATGTGTATTTTCTTTGTAAAATCAAGACTGTAATTCACCATCTTACGTTCCATATGACCCTAAGACAAAACAGTTTACTTAGATTTCTATAGTTGCTTTAGCGTTAAATATTATTTAAATTGCTGGTAATAATACTAGCAACATTACACTAACCTACTTATTTTCACAGACTCATTTTAGAGTTCACATCAAAACACAGCTAAGGCAAACATAATTAGCATAATGTTTAATGTGACAAGCTATGATTTCTGATTCAGTGAGAAACCATGATTTGAACAATGCTGTGTTTAATGCCTCAGTGAGTATGGTTATGGTTATGGTTATATAAGTTCAATGATAAAACAAAGCAAAACAAAATAGATCAGCAGTGTACTAAGACTTAGTTTCTTATGTTTCCCCTACTTAGTTCCTTATTCTAGGACATTTCCAAATTAAATATTAGAAAGGAATTTATTTTGAACTATTGTCATATGTTTCAAAGCTCATGTCATAATTTGACCAGAATTGTTCCTTAGTTAATATCTGATTTAGAACTTTGAGATTGTCTAAAAAATTTAAAAGCAAGTATCAGTTTTTATATGACTTGGTGCCATCCTTATTCTTCTGATGTATTGATAGAAGATACATTCAACAATTGATCCTAAGATGTAATGATCATTTTGGTTCTACTTAAGTATAATCAAATTGTTAAAAATCTCTCTATGTTTGGAAAAAACATAATGACTGTGTAAGGCCCGGCATCTTCCCTCTTATTCAAGAAAGTAAAGATTCTTGAAACTTGGCATTTCAAAAGGAACCTTTTATTGAAGGGGGTGATAGCAGGGTGAAAAGAAAACAGGCTCTGAGGGGCCCTCAGGCCATACAGTTAGAATAAAGGAATTATTAGAAACCCCTCCCAACAGTCCAGTGTGGATTCAGCCAATCTGCAGGTGTGAAGATGTTATTGTACCGGCTGCTCTGAGAAAACAATAAGGGAACTTTCTCAGGGTCATCTTCCACCGGCTTTTGAGTGATGCAACCCACATGGCCCTCTCTCCCCTTACATTCCCCAAAAGGTGCGAAAAATGCCAGGGTGCTTAGGTGCCAGGCTAAAGGTTATAAATCGATAAATTGCAGGATACAGGATATATAGGGAAGAAAGTAATAAGTAAAGAAAGTAATTTAAAATCCCCCCTTCCCCTGAAGAATGGTTGATACATGGATCTGACATACTGCCTCCTTAGAAAAAAGGATAATCCACCTGGAAAGAAACAAGGAAAACATATATAAGTTAAGTTGGTTTGGTTGGGTATTTCAGGTGGAATTTCCTTAAGAGCTTGGTTGCCTTTACGTGTCTCTTAGCTACCCATTCGTTTTGAGCTGATGGTAAATGTTTCTAAGCTACTTGTTGTGGCTCCGTTGCCTGAGCCTGGGCTATCGACAGATGCAGACTCTGAGAGTGAGGGAGAGGTGTTGGCAAGGCCTCCCTCTCCAGGACCCTCCTCTCTGGTAATGCCTCCGAAGGACACCGAAGGCCAAACGATAGGCTCAGAGCCAAGCACATCCCCGCAGCCACAGGTGGACAGGACGAGGAAGATAAGTGCTGGCTGGACCCTCGACAGAGGCGCAGGGAGAAGCATGCACAGCAGAGGGAAAGGCGTGCCAGAGATTAGCTGAGTCACTGGACCACACCCCACAGGGTATAAATGTGGGTGTGGTGGCCGGCTCAGTTTGTGACGAGCAAAAACTGGAAATACTCCATGATCTCTGCATTACTGGACTTTGCCTGCTTTATCAGACTGCATTTGGATGAATCCTTGTATTGTCGACACTCTTGCCTGTTTTATCGGAATGCTTGCAGTCTAATCTTTGTTTTGTGTGAGTAAAGTCTGAATTGGCAGCTAGCCACTGGGTTGCTGCCAGCTTTATCTTCAAAGAGTTTTGTCGTGTGGCTTATTAACTCCGGGCCGTCTGTGGGGGTGCGTGTGTGGTACGGGGACAGAACTCTACTAAGTATTGAGTGGAGCCATGGTGTGTGTGTGAGTCCAAGATTTTCTTAATCTCAAAGTGTTGTTCTCCTACCATAAGGGGGACCAGAGATGTGGATGTACAGTTGCAAGAAAAAGTATGTGAACTCCTTGGGATTACATGGAGTTTTGCATGAATTGGTCATAAAATGTGCTCTGAACTTCATCTAAGTCACAACAATAGAAAAACACAGTCTGCTTAAAATAATACTACACAAACATTAGATGTTGCCATGGTTTAATGGAACATAACATGTAAACATTCACAGTGCAGGGAGGAAAAAGTATGTGAGCCCCTAGCCTAATGACTTCTCCAAGAGCTAATTGGAGCCAGGAGTGAGCCAAACTTTACTCCAATCAGTGTGATGATATTGGATGTGTTGCTGACAGCTGTCCTGCCCTTTAAAAACACACACCTGTTTTGGGGTTACTGGTTTCAAGAAGCACTTGTCTGATGTGAACCATGCCTCGCAGAAAAGAGCTCTCAGAAGACCTACGATCAAGAATTGTTGACTTGCATGAAGCTGGAAAGGGTTACAAAAGTATCTCCAAAAGACTTGATGTTCATGTGTCCACTGTAAGACAGACTGTCTACAAATGGAGAAAGTTTAGCACTGTTGCTACTCTCCCTAGGCATGGTCGTCCTGTAAAAATGACTGCAAGAGCACAGCACAGAATGCTTCATGAGGTAAAGAAGAATCCTAGAGTGTCAGCTAAAGACCTACAGAAATCTTTGGCACATGCTAACATTTTTGTTGACACATCTACAATAAGGAAAACATTAAACAAGAATGGAGTACATGGGAGGACACCATGGAGGAAGCCATTGCTGTCCAAAAAAAATATTGCAGCACGTTTGAAGTTTGCAAAAGAGCACCTGGATGTTCCACAGCACTACTGGCAAAATATACTGTGGACAGATGAAACCAAAATTGAGTTGTTTGGGAAGAACACACAACACTATGTGTGGAGAAAAAAAGGCACAGCACACCAACATCAAAACCTCATCCCCACGGTAAAACATGGCGGAGGGAGCATCATGGTTTGGGGCTGCTTTGCTGCCTCAGGGCCTGGACGGATTGTTGTCATTGATGGGAAAATGAATTCCAGAGTTTATCAAGACATTTTGCAGGAAAACGTACGACCATCTGTCCGCCAACTGAAGCTCCGCAGAGGATGGGTGATGCAACAGGACAATGACTCAAAGCATACAAGTAATTCAACAAAAAAATGGCTTCAACAGCACAGAATACGCCTTCTGGAGTGGCCCAGTCAGAGTCCTGACCTCAACCCGATTGAAATGCTGTGGCATGACCTTAAGAGAGCGATTCACACCAGACATCCCAAGAATATTGCTACACTGAAACAGTTTTGTGAAGAGGAGTGGTCCAAAATTACTCTGGATCGTTGTGCAGGTCTGATCTGCAACTACAGGAAACGTTTGGTTGAGGTTATTGCTGCCAAAGGAGGGTCAACCAGTTATTAAGTCCAAAGTTAAACCGCTTAAAGTATTGCGCCCAGTGAACTTGCTTGGGGGAAAGTTTTCTTGGGGTCTTAAGGGCTAGGTTTTTGTGATTAGTCCAGACCTCGAAAGGGATTTTATTCCCCTCTAGGAAATGTCTCCAAGTCAGGAGAGCCCAACGTACGGCATAAGCCTCCTTCTCCCAGATGGCCCATCGCTGCTCTGTTTCCATTAACCTTTTGGAAGTGTAGGTGCATGGCTGTAGTCGGTCTTGCTCATTCTTTTGGAGTTAAACAGCTCCCACTGCTACATCGCTAGCATCAGCTTGTATGACAAATGGTTTATCTGGATCTCGGTGTTTCAATACTGGCTTAGCAGAGAACAGCTGTTTAAGTTTCTCGAATGCTGCTTGGCATTCCATTGCCTCGGTTTCGGTTTGTCCTCCCCCTTTGTTTTTAGCAGGTTTGTTATGGGGAGGGTGATTTTTGCAAATGCCAGAATAAATTGGTGGTAAATGTTTGCGAACCCCAAAAAACTTTGTAGCTGTTTGTGAGTGTGGGGACGCTCCCAGTCAATCACAGCTTGTACTTTTTGTAGGTCCATCTCTATCCCCTCGTGGGATATTCGGTACCCTAGATAGTCTATTTTCTCCTGGTGGAACTCCCATTTTGAAAGTTTTGCAAAGAGTTTGGCTGACCGGAATTTATTCAGGACCGCTTGGATTAATTTTACGTGCTCTGCCTTAATTTCTGTGTATATTAAAATGTCATCAAGGTAAACCAAAACTCCTTTGTATAAATGTTCAAGCAGCATTTTGTTTATGAGTTGCATAAAAACTGCTGGGGCACCCTGTAATCCAAACAGAAGTTCTTTACATTGGTAGCAGCCCAGTGGGGTAATAAATGTGGTTTTCCATTCTTCCCCTTCCCTTATTCTGATGCGGTAATAAGCTTCTCATAAGTCCAGTTTAGAAAAAAGTTTCCTCTTTGAAAGGTGCAGTAGCATGTCCTTCATGAGGGGAAGGGGGTACACATTTTCTACGCTCACAGTGTTAAGGTTCCTTTAGTCCAAGCAAAGGGGCAAAGTGCCAACTTTTTTTCGTGGAACAGTACTGGGGCTGTGGTTTTTTGATGGGTAGGTTTGATAAATCCCCTTGCTAGGTTTTTGTTACTGAATGCTCTCAGTTCATTGAGTTCTTGGGGGGACATACTGTACATTTTTTGTTTTGGAAGTTTATCCCCTGATAGCAGATGGCACAATCTGTGGCTTGGTGGTGGTGGTGGGAGTTCATCGGAGCCTTCTTCGCTAAATACCTTGGCTAGATCCCTGTATTCTTTTGGGATGCCCTAGGTTGACATGGCCCAGCCAGTCATTGCCATTTCACTGCTCCCCCCTTTCCGTGGTTTTCCTCTATTTCATCTGCGAATGTCACATGTCCCTGGAATCTTATAGATCCTCTCTTCCAATTTACTATAGAGTTCCATTTTCTCAGCCATGTGAGGCCTAGGACTAGGGGCCATTCCATTCTGGGCGCCACAATAAACGTGAGCATTTTGTCGTGGCTTCCCATGTTTATTTGCAGGGGCTTGGTGGCAAAAATGGCTGGTCTCCCCCTCCCCGCTACTGTCCCATCTAGCTGGCAGAAGGCAATGGGTGTTTTCAGTTTCCTTAGGTGGATCCCCAATTTCCCCACCAGGATTGGACTAATTAGGCATCGTGTGCATCCTGAGTCCAGTAATGCTGAAATTTCCTCCCTTTTCCCTTGGCTGGGCATGAAAAGTCTTAGGGGTAGGGTAAGTGGTTCGATTGGGTCACTTACCAGCGGGTCATCTTCTGGGTCACTTTTGAATGGACTCGGATCCTCAAGTTGGGGTGCCGGAGTTTCTTCCTCTGGGGGTGGGGGGGGAAACGCCACAGCCTTTCTGCTTCTCAAACTGGTTTCTTTTCCTTGGGGGGTTGATTTCGTGGGTTTTCCCCCTGACAGGCATTCTGGCTTCCTGATGGGAATTTTTGAATGGCACTCTGCTGCGTGGTGCCCCTCCTTTCCACACTTAAAGCATCCCGATGGCCTTGGTGCTAGGGCGGTTTGCGGCTTAAATGGTTCCCTCTTTCCCTGAGGTGGGGATCTTCTCCAAATTCTGCCTGCTTGGTACTGGTTTCGGGTCATGTCGATCTCGGCTTCCTCCACCATTAGGTACCATTCATGCAAGTGGTTAGGGGTTCCTCGGGCTAAGCAAGCGATGTATATTTAGCCCATCCTTAAACCAGCTCACCAAGATGTCTTCTGGCCAGACTACACAGCAGGCTAGGTCGTGGAATTCCTCTGTGTATTTGGCTACTGGCTGGTGACCCTGTTTCACGACCCTGATGCGATCGTGGGCTTTACTGTCAGCTAGTGGATCCTCAAAATTCCATCACAGGGCCATCATGAAGCAGTCGAAGTTTTGCAGCTCAAAGGCATCAGCGTTATAGAGGGTTACCATCCATCGGGCAGCTGCCCCCTCCAAGGCCAGGGTGACGACTCGAACTCACGCCTCCTGGGTTGGGAAATTTCAACTGTATTCCTGCATATATGTGGCCTAAGAAAAAGCCCAGTTTTGGGGGGGTCTCCATCTACTTTACACCCGGGGAGTGTCCTCCTCTTCAACTGAGGTCCTCTGAGTTGGCCGGGAACGTTCACCTGGGCTGGTGTTGCGAGAGGGGAGTTTTCCGCTGCGGCTGATGCTCCTCCAGCTGTGTCATCAGCTTGGTTGGCTGCTGCGGGATCCGGAGTGATGGTTGTGGCTTCCTCGGCGATTTGTGCTGCTTTTGCCCTCTTCTGTTGATGATCTGGCTTCCTTCGGTCGTTGAGATCCCCCAGAGCCTCCATCATGAGCTGGGTGACATGCTGTTTAAGTCAGTCATCCCCCAGCGGTTCTTCAATCAGCTCTTCCTGGTGTGATAGGGCTTCCAAATCTATCTTCCACCCGGCTTTTGGCTACTGTGAGTGAGGGTGACCCCCTTGGTTCTCCCATCCCAGCTGTCCTTCTTCCCCACGCTGATCAACCACTGGGGTTTTGTGGAGCCTTCCAGGACAGCTTCGATGTCTTCAATGGGGCATATGGGGCCAGTGTCCAGCTGGGTGGTTGTGGAGGTCTCTCCCCAATATTCGGCCTCCCCTTGCTCGCTGCTCTTTTTGGACATGGTTTGTAGGGTCCCCTCGGTAGAGTAAAATTTTCCTCTCAGGGTTGACCACATTTGCAGTGCCTGCTTTATGTAAGACCTGGCCTTTTCCCTTTATTCAAGAAAGTAAAGACTCTCGAAACTTTCAAAAGGAACCTTTTATTGAACAGGGGTGATAGCAGAGTGAAAAGAAAGCAGGCTCTGAGGGGGCCCTCAGGCCATACAGTTAGAATAAAGGAATTATTAGAAACCCCTCCCAACAGTCCAGTGTGGATTCAGCCAATCCGCAGGTGTGAAGATGTTATTGTACCGGCTGCTCTGAGAAAACGATAAGGGAACTTTCTCAGGGTCATCTTCCACCGGCTTTTGAGTGATGCAACCCACATGGCCCTCTCTCCCCTTACATTCCCCAAAAGGTGTGAAAAATGCCAGGGTGCTTAGGTACCAGGCTAAAGGTTATAAATCGATAAATTGTAGAATACAGAATATATAGGGAAGAAAGTAATAAGTAAAGAAAGTAATTTAAAATCCCCCCTTCCCCTGAAGAATGGCAGATACATGGATCTGACACTGTTTATGTTTATTTTCTAAACAGATTAATATTTTCCATTGTGGGAGTGTCATAACAGAAATACGTGACTATAGACAGTCTGGCAGTCTGAAATCTCCAACATATCAAAGCAAACACATTCTTTTGCGCCCAACAATGCAGGTAAACTCTTCATGCTTTCAAGAACTGCCATTGCTATACCTTCAATGAACTTTTATTTATATATTCAGTATTTCATAATAAATGGTTACCCTCCTTTTTCCTAGACCTTGATTTGTGATGTGCATTCCATTACAAGTGACAACCACAAGTGGACACAGGTAGAAACAAAGTTATATAAGACTTGTGATATTATAGGTTGGTAGTCCAGAAATTTTCCAGGGTAAAATAAAATTTAAAAATACAGCAATAAAAATGTGTGATAAACACAAAAGAATCAACATTCAGATAAGTGCGTCACCTTTACAGCATGCTCCAATCTGTTCACTATAATGGGTTCTTAACTGCTTTAACTATAAACTTAGCAGTTCTGATTAGAATCCAGGATGAAATAGGACACTCTCATTCAAATTCCAGTGGGCTGTTCCTTCAAGTAAGGATATTAAGCATCTAAGCCTAAGAGGGTATATGGTTGACAGTCAAATAAAATATGAGCAATATCCTTGATGGCTGGGGCACCATATATACACATCCTCTCATGTTATGGCAGATGATAGAAACACCCATATTTGACCTTGATTTTTATTTGCTAATTATAATATTGGGCAAAATTGAGACAGTTTCTCATGTGAATTGAAAATACACCTATTTCCCTCTCCTTCTAGTTGCATCTTTTACATACCATATTTTATTCTATTCTGGGAGATCTTTGGTTATCCTGAGGATAACATATGGGGAGACAACAACAAAAGAGGCTGCAAGGAGAAAGAAGTAGGAAAGCCATGATCAATAAGTACACTCCTATAGAGTCCCACTTGTTATCTGAACTGATATGATGGATGTCAAACAGTGGTTGTGTATGTGCTGCAATTCTTCTATGTAACCCATATATCTCCATACACACATTGTGTTAAGCAATATTTTATTTAACAATTCTTAGTTGAACAACCCATCAATAAATTCGTGTTTTAAATGAATAAATAATCATTACTTATATGACTAATTTCTAGTTTGTTTTCCTTTTCTCTGGTTAAGACATGATAGTAAATAGATATTAATATTTTACAGCAATTGTAGCTCTTAAATTCTAGAAGTTGAGAAATTTCTGATTTGCTGTACTTTTTTATTTTTTATTTTGTGTAACTAGAATATAGATATTATTAAATATGTTACTAAAAATAATGTTAAATATAAATTTATTTACTTCTAAAATGCAATACTATACAGTCTTGAAAATTATTGGAATTAAAATGTCAAACTTTACTTTACTTTACTTTACTTGTATTTGATTTATATACTACCCTACTCCCAAAGGACTCAGGGCAGTGAACAGCCAACAATAAAATACATACATACAAAATTTGAAAAGCAGAGATAAAATCGAATTAAAGTTTGGCCCAGACAGATTTAAAACCCCAATCAGTTTAAAACAAATTTAAACTTTGAATATTAAAAATACTAAAAAATATTAAAAAATTATTAAAAATGTTTAAAAAGAGGGAGAAAGTTAGGCCAGGCCCGCCTGGTGAAATAAAAAGGTCTTTAGAGCGCAGCGGAAGGTGCGCAGATCTGGGATCCTCTGTATCTCCAGGGGGAGCTCGTTCCAGATAGTAGGTGCCCCCACAGAGAAGGCTCTCCCCCTGGGGGCCACCAGTCGACACCAGTTTGGCCGACGGCACCCAGAGGAGCCCCTCTCTATGAGAGCGTACCAGCCGGTGGGAGGCTATTGGTGGTAGTAGGCGGTCCCGCAAGTACCCAGGTCCTGAGCCATGGAGCGCTTTAAAGGTGGTAACCAAAACCTTGAAGCGCACCCGGAAGACCACCGGGAGCCAGTGCAGCTCGCGCAAGAGGTGTGTTACATGGGAACGCCATGTCACTCCCATTACCACCCGATAGGTTCAAAAGGAAAAGTTGTCTATTAATATTTAATAGACAACATACAGTACAGTACATACATACTGTATGTTTAAGAATCAACTTAATCTATCATATTGAAAAGAATGAAACTAATTGTTGTCTACATAAGTATTGAAAATGAAATATATTGACCTCAGTGAACATACTTGTAAAAATTACTTGTAAAAATGTGCGTATAAATGTAGCATTAAAGAATTATTGCTCTTTTATAATCTTCTGCATTTGTGTTTTAGGAAGACAAACTTCTATTAGAAAGTCAACTTATACTGGCAACAGCAGAACCGCTGTGTCTAGATCCATCAATTGCTGTTACATGCACAGCAAACCAGCTTTTGTATAATAAGCAAAAAATGAATACTCACCCAATGAAACGGTACTGGAAAATATTCATCTTTAGAGAATCTTTGCAAAAATTTGCTTTATGTTATACTGGGAAAAAAGTTGATTACATTCAAGTTAGATAACTTTTAAAACCTATACAATAACCTAGAACACTGAGTGCAAATGTATTTTATGGAAAAAAAATTTTTGGATGAAGTCCAATACAATTGTAAATTTATATTAATTAATAAAAAGGTTTTTTTTCTTCTGTTTAGTCGTATCCAATTCTTAGAGACTGTCTAGACTAGTCCCTGCAGTTTTCTTGACAAGGTTTTTCAGTAGTCACTTGCCATTGCCCCTCTTTCTAGGGCTGAGAGAAAGTGACTGGCCAAAAGAAAGTGATAGCTCATCCAGCTATCTTTGTGTCTAAGGCAGGGGTGTCAAACTCACGACTACACATCATCATCACATGATGTATTGTAACTTTTGCCCCTTCACTAAACTGGGGTGGGCACAGCCAGCATATGCTGCGGGCCGCAAGTTTGACACCCCTGGTCTAAGGCAAGACTAGAACTCACAGTCTCCTGGTTTCTAACCACTACACAAAAGGAATTGTAAATATAATATATTTACAAATTTAGTATGTATTTACAAAATTAAATACAAATATGTTTTACAAATTGAAGATATAGGCTTACAATTGACTTAATATCCTTGAGTTAAAAGGAATTGCACAGCAGCTTTCCAACTATATTATTAAATCATGATTTGGTAAATAATGCTTATAAATGCTTGTATAAATATGTTCCAGAATATAAGTTTTCTTTACATTAATCTTGCACTATCTTATAGATGTTTCAAGAGATATTCCAGGCCATCTCTGAATTACCAGCAGGAGGTGTCTCAAAGTACCATTCCACCACAGTTCAAGCTATTTGATTATTTACAAAAAAGAAAGGAGAGGAGAGGAAGCCAACAGTATGATCTCAAAATTTCCAAAACTGGAAATGTATGCTTATTTTAAGAAGCTTTTAAAATAATACATTTGTGAAATGTATTTATCCCTATGACTTTTATATATGTTTGTCCTTTTAGTGTGTTGATATGTGGAAACAGAACCCCTGTTATTTGACTGCACCATCTGAAATAGATGTAAGTCTACAGATTTACCAAGCTTTCCTTCTATAATCCAAGCTGGTGGAGGTGTTTCAATGAAATCCTAAACCTGCTTGCTGTTTTGTGACAATTTAATTTATTCTAATTAACACATTACCTAATTATATAGCTATTTAAAATGTTGAATATTTTTTATTTTTAGAAATGAAGGATTCTTTTGATGATGTCAGTAAATTTATTGTGACAGTTTTTCTGGAAATGTTTAATCCTCCCTATTTCTAAAGATGTATATCATTACAAGTAATTTTTAAAAATCCTCATTGGAGTTATACGTAATCAACCAGTTACTCCAGGGAAGATAGTCTTTTGTGTTGAAAGCAGTGGTCGGTTTCTACTGGTTCGCCCCGGTTCATGTTAACTGGTAGCGGTGGGAGGCTCCATCCACCTGCCTGGATGTCATCACAGATGCTCTGCGCATGCACACGCTCACCTTTCCGAACCAGTAGCGAAGGTAAGTGAAAACCACTACTGGTTGAAAGGCCCAGCTAGAATAGGACTACATGTCTGTCATGCTCCAGAGGAGATTGAACTGTGTTGATTAGATTTCTTTAAATAACCAAAATGATACTATTTTTAAAAAAATAACTATGTATTATTTATTAACTATATACCTTATTCAAGTGTTGCTTTTATTCACTTGCACTTTAATTTCTTATTTCTCAAGGTGGAAAAATATGCTAAAGTGGAAAAATCTATCAAACCTGATGACTCACAACCAAGTGTCTGGCCGATTCATGTGAGTAGTAGTAAATTTCCAAGCACTATTTTTTTAGAAAAAATGGAAATGCAATGTAATGAATAATTTGTTCATGATTGCATTTAGATGACTAAAGAAAGATCATTTTCAATTATTCATTAAACAGAAAACTGATCTTATGAATTTTTCAAATGTGCAACTTCTTAGCAATAGAATGTAATTGTTTATGAGCTGCTGTTGAGTGTGTGAATAAACCAGTTTATTGTGTTCAGAATTCTATTGCCTCTGAACTATAGGTACTGTACAATGAAAGAACAGTTGATAATGTGATATTAGGAATGTGATATTAGTGATAATTCCTATCTTTTGTAATTAACAGCTTTATGTTTGAATAAAAAATAAAAATAAAGAAGTACAGGTAATCCCCAGGTTACAAGCGTTCCCTTAGCGAACATGCAAAGGTACGTGAGAAGTGCCCCCTAGCATTTATGAACAAGTCCCGAAATTATGAATGTTGCATCACTATTGCAGTTGTTCGTTCTTACGAATGTTCGCAGAGGCTCTTCAACATTTGCCCTGCCTATTCCCCTTTCCCTGCCGGGTCTTCACAGGCACTTTGCCTGTGGATACTCACTTACCTTGGAAAGATCTCTTCTCTGTTACGGTTGCTTCAGGCTTTTGGTGCATTTGCAGAGAACAGAGGCCTAACTTACCACGAGATCAGTAGTGTGAGATCTTTTTTTAAAAATAATATTTATTGAATTTTCAAACATTAAAATACACAATACAAAAATTAGAAAAGAGCAAAAAATAGAAAACTATAACACACAACAAAAATAAACAAACAAAAACAAACACATTGAAGCTTAAACACTAATAACATCTTTTCCACATTGATATCTCTATCCTAATTAACTTCCATACACAAATTCTACTTCTATCTATCACTAACTTAATTTACATCCTTATCTAAGTTATACTAACTTCTATTCACAATTTGGTTTCATGACAAAATATTGCTTACATTTTAGATTTACTCTCCAGCCAGGAATACCATCTATTCCAAATTAAATAATACTCAGTGTATTCCCTTTCCTTAATTTCCATGGATAATCTGTCCATTTCTGCACATTCGTATATTTTTTTAATTATAATTTGGTCTGGGGAGATATCCGGTTGTTTCCAATTTGTACTATGACAATCCTACTCACAGTTAATATATGTAATATGATATATTGTAAGTTCTTTTCCATTTTCCCTTCCAAAATACCCAGGAGGAATAGTTCCGGTTTTCTTTCTATCTTCCACCCAGTTATCTCTTCCAGCCATTTTTTTATCTTCCACCAAAATTTCCCAGGAATGCCCCAGGAGGACTGGAGGAGAGCGCAGCTCCTCACTCATGGAGATCCACTAGTGGGGAAATGGTCGCGGAACTCGGTAAGAAATGCGCGAGCCAGGAAGCGGTCATGCTCCCTGGCAGGAAAGGGTTGCATGTTCACTCCAGCAAAGGTTTGTGCAACCCTCTCTGGCCAGGAAGCATGATCGCTTCCTGGTCAGCGCACCTCTTACCGCGCCCACTTCCCAACCGGTAGATCTCCATGAGTGAGAAGCTGTGCTCTCCTCCGGTCCTCCTGGGGCGGCTCGCCTCCCCGCTGGCACCTTCTCCTTCTCCTTGCTGCTCCAGGAGAAGCCTGAGACTCAGCTTTCCTTGGCAAAGCGCTTCATTGCAGCGCAGGGAACATGTGCGGCACTGGGGGATCCGTGCAGCTACTATCTCACCCCTCCTCAGCCTCGGCCATGCCGCGAGGCTCCAAGTCAAGGAGAAGACGGAGGAAGGTGGGGGGAAGTCCAAACAGCAGCTACCTGAAGCAAGCTGCAGCGCTATTATGCAGGGTTCCGAGTGGTTGGAGAAGCGGCAGAAATAGCAGCCAGGGCTGGGCTTTCAGCAGGTAAGCAACGCTGCCTCTGCCGTGGGGAACTTTAGAGAGGGCGGGGGCAGGCTGTGCGAGCAGCCTGTCTCTTAGCTGGCGAGAATGGCTACAGCCTGCCCCCGGCCTCTCTTTCCAAAGTTCCTCACGCTCTTGCTGGGGGCAAGGGGGTGGCGGTGGCAGGAGCAGCAGGCGGGGGCTTCCCTCCCTCCCTCCCTCTGGAGGCCTGGGGCTATGCTAGAAGTCTGCTCGGGCGGGGAGACAGGGAAGACCCGGACCACCCATCCTTGCCACCACCACCCCATCGCCTTGGCGGCAGCGGTTCTCACCCAGCCACTTCCCTGGCAGTGGCAGGAGCAGCTGGCAGGAGAGAGGGAATGGCGGCAGGCTGTGGCAGCAGACAGTTTGAACCGGTTAAGAGGCAAAGTTCTTCCTCCTGCCAGCCTCGAGCTCAGCTCCAGGCAGCGTCCAGGCAGCCATATCTGGCCTCCCCCTGCGGCAGACCACGTGGATTCCAGGCAGCGCAACTTCGGGGCCTTTCCTCATGGTGGCGGTGGCGAGGCAGGCAGGCAGCCGGGTGCACGGGAGCGACTGGCGGCAGCGCTCCTGGCTGGCAAAGGGCGGAGTACCGGGGCTGCATGTGGGCAATGACGGCATTAAGGCCAGCTGATTGTTGCACATGCATGCACACCAGTAACCAGCAGACTAGCTGGCTGGTGTGCATGCGTGCCCTGGTAACCCAGAAGAAGAATGGGCGATGCCACGCGTGCCGGGTGACATGGCTCTGTGTGCCACTTCCGGCATGCGTGCCATAGGTTTGCCAACATGGTACTAGATCATCTGCGAATGCTTGAACCTTATATTCTTCCTGTTTGATTTTCAATCCTTTAATTATTTGATTTTTCCTAATTTGTATTAATAGTATCTCCAGGGATAATATAAATAAGAGGGGTGATAAGGGACATCCCTGTCTTACCCACTTAGCTATATCAATCTTCTCTGTTGTTTCCCCATTCATTATTATTGTTTCGAATAAATTGCTCTAATTAAATCCATAAATTTCTCCCCAATTTTCATAATTTCCAATTGATTAATCAGAACATTCCAGTTTAAATTATCAAACGCTTTCTGGGCGTCTACAAACATCAATGCCAGCTGCTTATTCGGATGGGCCTCATAGTATTCTAATGTATCCAGAATCGTCTGTGTATTATCTTTTATATATCTATTTGGAAGAAATCCGTTTTGATCTGAATCAATAATTTCACTTAAAAAATTTTTTGGCCCTTTCAGCTATTATTGTTACAAAAAAATTATAGTCCACACTAAGCAGCAAGATTGGCCAGTAGTTCTTGACCTGCTGTGTGTTTGTAGATTCCTTTGGGATGAATGATATCAATGCCTCTCTCCATGTCTCTGGTAATTTCGATTGCCCTAAGGCTTCATTATATAAGTTCAACAATAACACTTCCAGAGGTCCTTGTATCTTTTTATAAAACTCAGAGGGAATGCCATCAGGTCCTGGTGTTTTATTATTTTTCTGTTTTTGAATAGCTGCTTTCATTTCCATCATAGTAAGTCTGCTGTTTAACATTTCTTTCATTTCCTCTGATATTATCGGAAGGTTCCTATCTTTTAAATATTTCTTTATATCTTCCTCCTCCACCTTCTCCTGGCTATAAAGTGTTTCAAAGTAATTTTGGGCTATTTTCTTCGTCTTGTAGTTGTGTTATTAGCCTTTTCTCCTTATCCTTTTTTAATTTATAGGCCAATCATCTCCCAGGCTTATTAGCATGTTCGAAGTATATCTGCTTTGTTGCCTTAAGTTTTTGCGCCATTTCCTCCTGGGAACGCAGATTTATTTTATGTTTAATCAGATTTCTTTCCTCTCTAATTTTTTTATCCGGGGATTCCTGCATTTTATACTCCAATTCCTCCAATTTCTCTTGTAATTCCAATTGTTGTTTCCTTTTTTCTCTATTTCTCCCCGCCCAGTATGCTATCATTAGACCTCTGATATAAGCCTTGGTTGTATCCCAAAAGTTCTAAAGGGTCGTATCTTCATTTGTATTTTCTTTCAAGAAGAAATCCAACTCTCTTTCCATCCATTCTATATACATTTGTTCTTTTATTACTCCTTGATTCATGATCCATCTCCTTTTCGATGTTGATCTTCCTGTCCATTTTAATATCAAAGGGCTATGATCCGCCCATATGTTAGTTGCTATTTCTATTTCATCTATGTTTTTACTTAGTTCCAAATCTGTCCAGATCATGTCTATTCTGGACCATGAATCATGTGGGTTAGAATAAAAAGTATATTGGGTTTTTTTGTGGATTTCCTTCTCTCCAGATGTCTTTTAGATTCAGCTCTTGCACCATGTCAAAAAAAGTGGTCGGCAGTATCCTCTTCTGTTTTTTTATTTTTCTTTCCCGATCTGTAATCTTGTTTTGTATCTACGACCACATTAAAGTCCCCCAATAAACAAATATTTCCAATTTCCAATTCCACAATTCTTTTATGTAATTTATAATAAAATACCCCCTGTCTAATATTTGGTGCATAGATAGCCACCAATAATATTTTTTTTGGTCTTGTTATTATCTCAATTAATAAAATTCTGCCTTCCTCATCTGCATAAATGTGTTTCAGTTATAGCCAATCTTTAATGTATAAAACTACTACTCTCTTTTTTTGTGGTGCAAGAGCTGAATATAATTTTCCTAATTTAGGGGCTTCTAATAAATGTCCTTGTTGCTTTTTAATGTGAGTTTCTTGTAAACATGTGATGTCTGAATTGTGTTTTTGTGGTCTAGATAGAATCTGTCTCCTTTTGGCTGGCGAGTTTAAACCATTTATATTAATCGAAATTAATTTAAATTCTTCTTCCATTTTACCTTCTACTGACGGCCCTGGTTCCTTTCCTTAATCTCGTTTCCGTTTGTATCCTCGACCTTGTCCCTGCTCTTTTCCTCTGTTCTCTTTCAATCCTCTCCTGTGATTCCAATTCTGACTCCTTCCCTTCTTCCTGACTCTTATTTTCTGTGTCCTCTCCATTCTCCCTCTCTTCATCTATTGCTATACACTGATCGTAAAATTCCTGAGCCTTC